CCTGCCAAACTCAGTGTGTTATCGGTTACACCTCACAACATTAAAACACCCGCTGCAGTGGCAGTCCTCTGCACATGACCTCTGTTGTACCTTTACCCAGCCTCCGTTATGAAAGTCCACACAAAACACTAATCTTGATTTCTTATTGACTAGAATTACATCATACAGTTATGTCTAAACCTATCCTTTGAGGAGAGGAAAACCACTCAGATTGATTTAGACAAAATTATGACTCACCCCTACGTCCTAGAGTTACAAGATTTCTGGTCTTCTAAACAGACAGGATTTCTGGGATAGTTAAACAAAAAAAAAATTGTGTTCTGTTAATAAGGAAGAAAGAGACAAAAGTCTGGTTAGACAACCATTGACTCTGCCAATGGTCTTCTTTCTTTGTGCTTGCATTATATTGCATTTATCAATTTATCAAATATGTCCATGACTTTGCAAAATGAAAAATTGATAGACTTAAATTTTAGCTTTCATTCAAGAAATTGGAGAAAAAAGATTTTTTTGGTTTTTTGAGACAGAGTTTCTATGTGTAGCTTTGTGTCTGTCCTGGAACTCACTGTGTAGCCCAGGCAGGCCTCGAACTCACAGAGACCGCTTGCCTCTGCCTCCTGAGTACTGGGATTAAAGGCGTGCACCACCACTGCCCAATTTGGAGTAAAATTTCTAACAGCATGGTACAGTACAGTACACTAGTGACACAGTCTTCCTCTTATGTGTTCAGACCCAGACTGACACCCTCACATGGAAGGTTGTCTCTTTCCTTGAAATTTATCCACTTTCTTTAGTAAATGACTATGCAAAAACCTACCTACAGTGAACACAGATGACTATGAGGGTCAAAGCAGGGTGTTTTAGGAGCCTGGGTTGGTTGAGGAAAGGGAGGACATACTCAGAAATACATTATGAAGCTGTTTACATGGCCAAGTTCATCAAAAGTGTTTTTAGTATGGGTGTAAAACTGACTAATCCGCACAGGAGAAATAGAAATCAAAGGAAGACAAGAGTAACAAATAGGAAGGAATAAAGATGGTGCTTTCAATTAATTCTCCAGAAATAGAAACAGAAGTCCTCAGGAAGAACTTTGCAAAGAGCACCAGGAGAGAAGGAATATTGGTTGTGTGTCAGGTAAATTCAAGCTTCCGAATGTTCAGCAACATCCTGCAATGAGGGTGGAGCACTTACTACCTTCTTAGGCCCTCCTGGGCTTCCCTAGGAGAAGGCACAGTTTCCCAGGGAAAGTGTGTTTATAGGCTTGCACTTTCACACCTGCATTGGCTTGGTGTCGGTAGGCACCTTAGTCATCAACGACAGAAGAACTTTTATATTTTTACAGGCATAGTGGGTGCTGATTTTTTTCAAATAAGATTGTTTCTATTTTTATTGTCACTTATTTGTACTATAGACACACATCTTAAGACATAAGGCAATGTATACATACACACACACACACACACTCACACACACACAGGGAGGGAGCCATTTCTTGAGCCTCTCGAATAGCTTCTTTTGCAACCAAAAGGTCATTGGCAGTGTAGATGTAACCAACTGTCTTATTAAATAAGAAACACAGAACCAATGTAAAAGAGAAAGCCAAGAGGTCAGAGCTAAAACCTTACCCTTGCTCCTGCAGTGCTCCTACCTCTCCGAAAAAGAGATACTTCCTGTGTGTTTGTCTTTAATATAGTCTTTCTGTTCTGCCTTCTCATTGGTTGTAAACCCAAACACATGACTGCCTCATCACTGCCTGTAAGTACAGCCCTCCAGGTCTTAAAGGCGTGTGTCTCCAATGCTGGCTGTATCCCTGAACACACAGAGATCTACCTAGCTCTTCTACCAAGTGCTGGGATTAAAGGTGCACGCCACCACCACCACGCTCTTGCTATGGCTCTAATAGCTCTGACCCCCAGGCAACTTTATTTATTAATATACATTTAAAATCACATTTAAGTACAAATAGAATACCACCATATTGGCAGTACTCTTTTTGTTTGTCTGTCTTGGTTTTGGTTTTTTGAGACAGGGTTTATCTGTGTAACAGTTTTGGCTGTCCTGGAACTCACTCTGTAGACAAGGCTGGCCTCAAACTCAGAGATCCACCTTCCAGGTGCTGGGATTAAAGACTTATGCCACCATGCCTGGACATTGGCAGTATTCTTGAGAATAGGTAAACTAGAGTAGGAACTAGTCCCTAAAGGAAACAGGAGCAGCAGTCAGTCAAGGGCAGCAATGCAATGTCATCATCTAAACTGAAAAACTGACACCATCAATGCTATCTGCACACAAGGTAACCATTGAAGAAGAATGCAGTTTGTCCTGACAGACGGAATTTTTGCTTATAAACTTTTGGTCATGAAAACCTTACTAAAAACAAGTATCTTATCCTAATGATTAATGGTCCATGTCCTCTGTGTGTTTTGGTAAATTCTACCTGCCAGCATGCTCTTCCTGTTGCAACCAGATCTGCTTTCATGTGTTGTAGCCTGACAGATCAGCCCTGGTGCCCTGAAGAAGTGGTTCTCAGCATCAGTGTATTTAGCCTTGCCTTGGGTAGGGGTGGGATGGCAATGAAATAAATATTCCTTGGTACCACACACAGAATTTTTATTTATTGAGCCTTAGCTGAGAATTGGCCTTTCTAACAGCTTTCTGCATGATACAGATGCTGCTGACCTTGGAGCCAAATTCTGAGGACCATTGTCCTAGGGAACAGGGAAGCTGGAAAAATCAACCTGCCAGCATGCTGGCAACTGCACTTGGCTTTTAGCGAGATGTTAGATTTAGAAGGTCACAAGGCTTAGAGAAAAACCAGCAAGTTTTGAAGTAAATATCACAGGAAATCACAGGAATCTTAGTACAGGACTGGACCCTTACATAGCAATAGTTAAAACTGAAAAGGCTTTGATTGACAAATTCCAGGAAAGCTCCATATTAGAGCGGAATGATTTAGCCCCAAACAAAGGTCAGATAAACCTGATCCTGTTCTCTTGCATGTCCTCAAAGTAGCTGCCATAGTCCAACAGAAAGATGTGGAGACTCGGCATAAGTTAACAATAACCAACCAAAGAGAAAACCCACAGGATCTGAAAATTCTGTTTAGGATCAGAACTATGGAATGATGTAACCATACTGTGGAGGCCCACAAAGGTTTCCTAGTGAGATCTGAGCTTGCTTTACCCAGCAGGGCTGCATTAGAGGGTTGCTTGACCACATGTATGGTTACTAGGTGATTGGAAGGGTTTGTGCTTGGCTGTGCTAGGGGGAGGTCTTTGCTCCACCCCTTGGCATTCCTATAAAAAGCCCTTTAGAAGAGACAGGAGGGACTGGTGGATAATGATCCTGGCCCTTCCGAGGCTATCCCATGTTTCTGTCTTTCTCTCTCTCTCCCCCCTCTATATTTCTATCTAAATCTCTTATCCCTCACTCCTCAAGAGTACCCTGGGGGAAAAAGTGAGAGCTGGTCTCCCACCTCATACTGAATTTTCCAGCATGTGATTGCAACTGTGAGTCTGGGCTGAAGTTGTCTGAACTTTAAGGCAAGAGGCAGTCAGTATCCTTCACTGAATGTAAGATACACAAGAAAAGGGACTTGGTGTTCTCAACCATTTTGTGCAATGACCAGTACAGATTCTTACACAGAGCATAGGCTTGACAAATAAGAAAAAAATGGAAAAGAACCCGATAAGACTCTTCATAGGTCTAAAATTTGCTGGTAAAATCTGACTATAAAAGCTTAGTGTCTCTCATGGAAGATATAGTTCCCACTGTGTTCCACAGACATGGAGGTATATAGACATCAAAGAATTTTGTTGAGGGCAGAACTAGGGATATGGAATAAAAGGGTGAAGAGTTTTTCCCCAGAGGGCAGAATTTTGCTCTGTCAAGGAAGTCCCCTAATTTTGGGGAAATATTAAAGGCAAGTATGCATTGTGTGCTCTGTGGGATTTTGTAATCGCTGTGTGTCTCTCTGTATTCCCTTCTAGAATAAGAAGTTTACTTGCTTTCTGTAAGATCAGTCTTTGTTATATACTATAGGCATTTTCTGATAATTTCCATTTTGGAATATAGGTCAGATAGAGCTTTATTTGCCATCACCTGTGACCTCAGGGTTGAGTTGGGTGTGTGAGCACATAAGGCTGTCTGTGACTAAGTCATTCCAGTCTTCAAGGCCAGCATCTTCAAACCCCTCTCTACTCGGTCTTCACAGTGTCTTCTTCTCTGTGTGAGGGAATACCCCAGGGACTCCCTCTTGCAGGGATAACTGAGGATAATCACTCATCCTCAAAATTCTTAACATGGATAAATTGTGTATGTTGTGTATGACAAGTACTATTCCTACTTAGTATAAGGTTATAGAGGTCACATAGCAGTGAGTCCCAAGTTGTTAGGATGGTGTGAAACTTTTTCGGGAGGCAAGTTGCCCTTTCGCTGACACCCTTTTCTCCTCCCAGCATGAGATTCCTGGGAAAATTCCAATTTCTTTTGAGGTCCATAGTTTCAGTAGTCTGAAAAGTTGAGAGACACAAATATCTCTTTAGAAAAATCTTCATTTCTGCTAGGCCAGTTACATAATGACATCCGGGAACACTAACCCTCTCCAGTAGTTAAGCTAAGATAAAAGAGCATATATAGACTGCTATAAAAACTCTAGATGTATATTAATCATAGATTTTGGTGTATGACATTAAAGTTTCTTCTGTGTGAATTTCATCAGACTATGTCTCCCACTCAGAGGAAATATTTTTAATATCCTCTATGATTTCTTGAGTGTATTATTTAGAAGAAAATTTCCAAATATTTTGATTTTTTAGGGATATGTTATAAATCTATTTCCTTCATAGGCAAAGGACACACTCTGTAGAATTTGAATCCCTTGAAATTCGTTGGGGATTTATCTATACCCTAACATTTGGTCTATCTTTGTGAACCTACTGCTTGTACTTGAAAAGAATACATTTTGCAGTTATTGGGTAAGATGGTCTATAAATATCAATTGGGTCAAGGTGGTTGATACAGACTCTTCAGATTTAGAAAAAAATTAAATGCCTAATCATTTGGGGAATAGAAATTAAGTATGGTAAATTTATATACAAAGCTATTTTATTACTGAACACTCTGAACAATTTTACTCTGTTGACTCTCTCAGACATGGCAAATGCTCTCATTAGTTTCCTGCATTTCTCTTTTAGAAACATGTCCTACGTGGATGAGAATGATTAGCCATCGTTATTAAGGCCTTGTATTGTACAAATCACGAAGAAACATTTGTCAGAACGCTTCATGTATCATAGTACACTAAGCCCTGGTTTTCCAAGGGTTTGCTGAAGGGCTGTTCAAAGCTTGAGCGACCTATGGATTTGGAAATATTTGCCTTTGCTCATCTTAATTATTGAAGTAAGTTAATCCCTTTAAACAAACAATAGGCTCAGGTCCTTTTTATATCACTAATGTTCACCTATGTGCTACATTTTCCTCATAAGCCAGAGTGATGGTCCAATGGTCAAAGCTCAGTATAACAAAACACCAGAAAACTCCCATTTCAAACTAAAGGGGAGCAGTACAGGACACCCAATGCTACTTTGGCGTCAGGATTAATTTGAAAGCAATTAAGAAAGAACATATAAAAGGAAGCTTCTTTACCTTTTTGCTGTTTGCATAAAAAGCAGGTCATAGTTTGTAAAGGTTCCCTACTCTCACCTCCTTCCAGGAGTGACAGATTCTAACTCTAGATCCTTATGAACCCAGACATGACATTAAAGGGACACACAGAATGAATCTGCCTAAAACTAGCTCTTTTTATTTTATTTCAACTAAAAATATTTTTATCTTTTTTGTACATATATAAAATGTATCGCCGGGCGGTGGTGGCGCACGCCTTTAATCCCAGCACTCGGGAGGCAGAGGCAGGCGGATCTCTGTGAGTTCGAGGCCAGGCTGGGCTACCAAGTGAGCTCCAGGAAAGGCGCAAAGCTACGCAGAGAAACCCTGTCTCGAAAAACCAAAAAAAAAAAAAAAAAAAAAATGTATCAATGATATTTATCCCCAACTCCTCCTTCTCGCTCCGCTCTCTCCAGTACAGCTCCCCTTTCCCTTTGATGTCCTCTTCTGTATTTATTTATTTATTTATATAACCAATGAGTGCAATTAGTGCTTCCATTTGAGCAGGTGCAAACCACCAGAGGCCACACCCACCCCCTGGTGAAAACTGACTGCCTCTGTAACTGGCCTGCCTTGTGGGATTGAATGTGTTCTGAATAGTCACTTCTGCACGCCTCTTTGGCTCTGAGACTACTGAAACAATGGACCCCAAGAATGAGAATTCCACCAGTTATCTCCTGCTGGAGAAGGACAAGGGTGAAACCCTGGTGGGGTAGGGGAGTGGGGTGGGGGGCATAGCTGGAGTAGAAACTTGTGTCTAAGAGAGATTTACAAGCTGTTGGATGACCTTGCAGGAGAGACTGGAGCTCAGACTATAGTAGGTGGAGGACCACCTCTTTGCTGGACCATTAATTATTCATATTTCTTTGCTTCTCTTTGAACCTTACCCTCCTGTTAGGATGCGAAGACAGGTGGGAGACATCCTTCTGGACCTCTCAGTCCCTCTTCTTAATGTTGTTGTACTGATTAAATCTCCTTTTTCTGCTTTTAACTTTAAATGGGCTCTTTTAATTGGTTGAGGATGGTAGCCAAACTGGACTTGCTGGGGGAACAGGCTATGGCCCTAAATACTGTCATCTTCCTCAGTAGCTATCAATTGCCAGTAACTCCTCAGCTAGAGTTGGAACCTCACGAGTCCCTTACCAGTCCTTGCCAGAATTACTGATTGGCATGGCCCTTGTGCAGGGATTATGCAGGTCGCTGTAGCTCCTGTGAGCTTCTCTGTACAAAAGCTGTTTACTGCCAAGAGCTCCTCAGCCTGTGCTGGGACTTCACAAGCCCCTCCTCCTCCTCCTCCTCCTCCATTTTTTTAAATGTCTTCTGCATTCAAACACAGCCACCATGAGTTAATGATTACAACATACCTGTCACATGCAGAGGACACTATTTTACAGCAGTCCACAACTTCGGCCTCTTACAATCTTTTTGCATCCTTTTCTGTGATGAACCCTGAGCCTCGTGGGGAAAAGTGTGACACAAATGTCACATTTGTGGCTGAGCACTCCAGGGTCACTTATTCTTTGTCCTTTAACCATTTATGAGTCTTTGACTTAATTACTGTCACTGAAAAAAACAACCTTCACCTGGTGAGGGCTGATAACTGCACAGCTTGACTTTTTGTTCCGACAAAGGTGGTGATGGGTTTCTCCCCATGGGCTGGGTTCCAGCTTCATGCTTTTTCTTGATTGGCTAGTTTTTCTTTGTTTGCTTTGTTTTCTGTTTGTTTGTTTTAATGGGGTAAAGAAAATGAAGGAAAGAGGGAAGGGATCATAGCTCCAGGCCATCCAGTACTGGGAATACAGCAAATCTTTCATGTAAACAAAATTGGACTGGTTTGGGGTAGGGATTAATTAAAACATTTACATAAATGTTTTACAAGGTGGGAGGTGAAGGTTTGAATTTCTTATCATCAGCAAACGTTTGACAGTGTTTGACAGAAAAGACTGTTATTTAAGGTTTCTGACAAGACCTTTCCGAACAGGTCCATGGATCAATAGAATAGAACAAAGGACCTGGTTCATGCTCCTACAAACACATAATTTTTGACAAAAAATACCCATTAAAGAAAACATAGTATCTTCAACAAATTGTGCTGGAAAAACTGAACAGCAACATACAGAAAAATAAAGTTGGTTCTTTATCTTTGACAGTACCCCAACCTCCTCACCTTCCCCACCACCCCCACCTCAACCTCACACAAAATTCAACTCCAAATGCATCAAGGACCTCAACATAAAATATGATACTCTGAATCTTCTAGAGGAAAAATTGTGTTTGCTTTAACTTATAGACGAAGTTAAGGACTTTTTGAATAAGATTCCTATAGCACAAAGAGCTAACTACCAGCAATTAACAAATGGGAATTCATGAAACTAAAAAGCTTTACAGCAAAGGAAACTATTGATCAAATGAGGCATACTACAGAATGGAAAAAAAAATTTTTTTCCCCAGCTATACACCTAACAGAGGATTAGTATCTTTTTTTTTTTTTTTTTTGGTTTTTTGAGACAGGGTTTCTCTGTGTAGCTTTGCGCCTTTCCTGGGACTCACTTGGTAGCCCAGGCTGGCCTCGAACTCACAGAG